CTCGGAAAGCACAGAATACCCCTCCAAGGCGCGGAATCATGTTCCTGGACCGCCTTCCGGGAACATGATGGGGACGACCTCATGAGGGCCTCCAGTGGGCCTCTTTTATATACATATATATACTATTATATAATATAATGTAATATAATATAATATGATAAAATATAATATAATATAATATAATGTATGATATATGATATATAATATAATAAAATATATGTATATATATAATATATTACAATATAATATAATATAATATGAAATAATAGAATATAATATAATATAATATAATATAATATAATATAATATAGTATAAGATAATATCATATAGTATAATATACTATAATATAATATATTATCATATAATACAATATCATAAAATACAATATAATATAATATAATATAATACAACATAATATAATATAATATAATATAATATAAATAGAAACATACGCAAGACATGTAGGATTGTGTACACAGGAGAAGGACAATCGATAGAAACATACGTACGTCGTCCAAGGCGCCTCGGAAGGCGCCTCGGAAAGCGCAGAAAACTCCTCCAAGGAGCGGAATCATGTTCCCGGACCGCTTTCCGGGAACATGACGGGGACGACCTCCTGAGGGCCTCCAATGGGCCTCTTGGGGGCCTCTCGGAGGCCTGTTGGGCTCTCCTGGAGGCGTCTTGGGGCGCGCTCAGGGCAATTTTGGGGCCTCTTGGGGGCCTCTGGGGGCCTCCAGGGAGGCTCTTGGGGGCCTCTTTGGGGCCTCTTGGGGCCTGGCGGGGCCCTCTTGGGGACCGCTGGGTTCGCTCAGGCAGTCTTGGAGCCCTGTCGGGGCTCTCCTGGAACCGTCTTGGGCGGTTCCTGGGCCATCTTGGGGCTCTCCTGGGCCGTCTTGGGACGATTTGGGGGGTCTCTTGGGCCGTCTTGGGGCGGTCTTGCGGGCTTCTTCGGCCGTCTTGGAGTGGTTTTGGGAAATGTTTGGACGGTTTTGGAGCGTCGGAACCCCGAAAAAGCGAGAAAGCCAAAAACCTCGAACAAAAACAATATAAATCAACGATTTTGGCTTGTCGGGGCTCTCTTGGGAGGCCTCTTGGGATGCCTTCGGGGCCTGATGGAGCTCTCTTGGAACGTCTTCGGGCCTTCCAGGCCATTCCTGAGGCTATCTATGCGCGTCTTGGAGCGCTCGCGGGCCGTCTTGGGCGGTCTCGAACTGTTCCTGGCGGTCCCAGGGGCCCTCCGGGACGCTTCGGACGCTCCCGGGGGCGCCCTGCACACCCCATGGAGATGACAGGCACCGCCCAGGGGCCCAACTCAGATATATATATATATATATATATATATATATATATATATATATATATATATATATATATATATATATGTGTGTGTGTGTGCGTATGTATGCATGCATGCATGCATGTATGCACGCATGCATATATGTATGTATGTATGCAAGGAGAGAACGCGTTTCACGGGCGCTCGTCTTGGGAACATGCGGCGGCGCGTATCTACCCGGGGGGTGGACCCCCCCCAACACTCGGCGCCGACGATCAAAACCACGGGGCCGCGAACCCCCAAGGCCGCGCGGGCGCGGGCTCACCAGGCCTGGCCGGGGATGGTCCGCCGGACGTTGGGTACACCTCCAGGTCGGCACGGTCGGCAACCAAGCGCGCCAACGGTTGGCGCGCTTGGTGCCTCCGGCTCCTCCAGTGCCTGAGCCCGGGGGCTCCTCCAGTGCCGCAGGCTCGGGGCTTACTCCCGCGGAGGCCCCCTCCCCTTTTCTCTGGAATTCCAAAGCACGTCCCGTAGTCGAAGTCGCGGCGTCGTGGTCGCAGTCGCGGTGGCGGTAGCCGTCGGAATGCCCGGGTGACGCCCCTTTTCGGCGGCTGGCGGCGGAGGGGGCGCTCGTCCCTTCCCAAGCCCCGTGCTCGCCTTCGCGGCTGGCGGCTTCGCTCCGGATCCCCGGTGCCCCTCGCCCTCAGGGCCAGGAACTGCACCGAGGGGCGGAGTATAGGCCCTGGCATCCGCCTCGCTGGCTCGGTCGCCGACGGCGCGGGACCGCGCCAGTCAGCTCTTGACCGAACGGCCACCATCCGTTGGCCCTTTTCGTCTGCACCCCGCCAATGAGGATCGCCGCGGCGTGCACCACAAGCCCCCTGGGCCCCGTCGCCGCGCGTCCACCCCCTCGTAGCGCGAGCGTGGTTTCGGCAGGACACGGCCCACTGGCACAACCGTAGGTCTCGAGCCTCAGCGGCTGCAGAGACCAAAATGAGAAACCCCAATGTCCGCACCCCCGCCGCACATAACCTGCAGTCTCAACAACCCCACAATACAATCTGGTCCACGGGCAGGAATTCCAGGAGAAGATACAGCGCCAGTCTCTGACAGCGGTAATGATGGTACTCGGGCAGTTGGCAATCAGCGACGGGGTTCCACCATGCTCCAATGCCAGCGGTCTGGCATGCGACCGCGCCGCTTTCGCCCGGAAGAGCCATTGTGTAAAAGAGAGACAGGGAACCAAATGCACTGCCGGATCGGAAAGCAAAGCGAGAGGGAACCGGGCCCTCGGTGGAGCTCCTATGGGGCCGCGAAGCGTGTGAGGGATGTACCGACATGGGCGCGGTGAGCGCATGCGCACGCGTGTGAGGGGCGTGTCGAGATTCGCGCGGCAGCGCCATGCGAACGCAGCCACTGGGGCCTTCGGTGGAGCTCCCTATGGGGCCACGAAATGTGTGAGTGGTGTGCCGAAATGGGCGCGATGGTCCCCTGCGAGCGCGGCCACTGGGGCCCTCGGTGGCGATCCCTATGGGGCCACGAAACGCATAAGGGGTGTGCCGACCTGGGTGCGGTGGCGCCTTGCGAACGCAGCCACTGGGGCCCTCGGTTGAGCTCCCCATGGGGCCCCAAAATGTGTGAGCGGTGTGCCGAAATGGGCGCGGTGGTGCCATGCGAGCGCAGCCACTGGGGCCTTCGGTGGAACTCCCCATGGGGCCACGAAACATGAGAGGGGTGTGCCGACATGGGTGCGGTGGTGCCATGCGAGCGCAGCCACTGGGGCCTTCGGTGGAGCCCCCCATGGGGCCACGAAACGTGTGAAGGGTGTGCCGAAATGGGCTCGGTGGTGCCCTGCGAGCGCGGCCACTGGGGCCCTCGGTGTTCTACATGGGGCTACGAACATGCGAAGGGTGTGCCGAAATGGGCGCGGTGGTGCCTTGGGTGCGCAGCCACTGGGGCCCTCGGTGGAGCCCCCTAGGGGGCCACGAAACGTGTGAGGGGTGTGCCGGAATTGGCGCGGTGGTGCCATGCGAGCGCAGCCGCTGGGGTCTTCGGTGGGGCTCCCTATGGGGGCACGAAGCGTGTGAGGAGTGTGCCGACATGGTTGATTGGTGCGGAGGGTAGAGGCAGGGATGGGAGGATGGGGAGGAGGGTGAGAAGGAAGGCAGGAGTGACGCGGGGCGCTGTCTCTTCAAAACGAAGACCCAACACCACAAGATGATTTAGAAATGACGATTCCCAAAAGCGTTCCGTCCGATCGCGCCCACGCCTTACGGCGGGAGGGCAGTTGGAAGCAGGCGGCCGTTCAGTTGGCCAGGCTCTGCCAACATGACGGCCCAAGTCACGTGTCGCTATCTTACGCCGCATTGGACCTAGAGACGCAACGTGCACTCGCGGCGAAGCTGTGCAGTGGGCCACGTGCGTGGTGTGCTGGCGCGCCTGGTATGATTTACCTGTTGGACACACGCATTCTCGAACACGAAAGAGGCGTTGAGTTCGTCTCCTGTCAACGTATCTTCGAGCGTCGTCCCGCGCGCCAAGAGGAAAGACGCGGTGAACATGTGGCGGCTCGAAGTGGTGGCGTCGGAGAAGGAAGCGCTGCAATATCTGGCAGCGAACTACACCGTCGAAGAGTGCGACTCCATCGCGCGCCAGCTGCAGTGCCCAGACAGGCGCAGGGTCTTGACGATTTCCTGAGGCTTTTGCAGGACCACGAATTCCTGGCGCCCGCAGGAGAGAAGCGCATCTGCGATTTTGTGGTGGATCCGGCGTGGTGCTCTCCAGTGCCCAGTGAAGTTGCACTTGCGCACGAGTTTGTGGTGAGATCGATTGTGCGATCGATAGTGAGATCGATCGTGAGACCAACTGTGAGATCGATAGTGAGGTGGATCGTGGGACCGATTGTGATACCGATGGTGAGATCGATCGTTAGCTCGATGTAAGTTCGATAGGGAGATCGACAGTGGTACACATGGATAGGTTAACAGGTAGATAGAGAGCTCGATGACGAGGTCGAGAGTGAAATCGACAGAGGTCGACGGTGGGATCTCGTGTGAGGCCGTTTGTGAAATCGATTGTGAGATTTATGTTTCTACCGTGGGAGCAATAGGGGGTCGACAGTGACATCGAGGCCGCTCAAGCGAGCATCCCAGACATTGCAATCAACGCAGCGATGGCGATCATTGCTACCGCGGTTGAGTGGCTCAAGCAACCTTGACGCACAATCAAGTCCACCGCCTCTTCGTGTTGTCGGCGGGTGGCGCGTGCCTGTCCGCGAGTGTTCCATCGCCGCCAGGCTCTGCCAGCGGTGCTCCATATGGTGGGTCGCGGAAGCAGGTGCAGCGGTTCAAGTACGGCGAGAGCTTCAGGACGGCCTTCGTGGAGCTCGCCCCCGCCTGCGTCATGAGTGGCCAGCAGTTGTTCGATGCCTTGGCCCCAGGGTTCCGAGGATTGCGCGCGTAGCCTGGCAGACTCCAAATCCTCGCAGCGCAACCACAGTAACCACTACATGGAGCAGAACGTGTTGGTCTATGTGGATGGGTACTCTGGCAAACCCTTGGAGTTCGAGCTAACCCGCAACCAGCACACAAGGGATCGTGACGCACACTACACGGTCACGGCCTGCTTCAAGGAGCCTCCGCAGGGCATGGAAGCGGAGGCTTAGCGGATCCTGCTCCACGTGGTTCGAGGGAAAGAGCTCGTTCCAGATCACACGCGTGAGATTGTGATATCGGTCATTACGATCGCCATTATGCGTTCTCACCATCAGCATCACCGTGCAACTTCGCTGTCTCGTCGCCATCAGAGTCATCGAAGTTGTCGTCAGTTGGTCTTCACTCCCCCCAAACCTCCTTATCACCCGGAGGGTGGTCGTATACGTTTGCAAACCCCGCCACTGGGGCCTTCGCTGGAGCTCTTCGCGGGGCCACGAAGCGCGTGGGAAAAGCACGCCAACATTAGAGGTGGAACCGTGGAACCGCATGCGAACCCTGCCACTGGGGCCTTCGGTGGAGCTCCCTATGGGGCCCCAACGAAACGTGTGAGGGTGCGCCAGATTAGGGGCGTAACCGCATGCGACCCCTGCCTCTGGGGCCTTCGATGGAGCTCCCTACGGGGCCACGGAACGTGTGAGGGGTGCCAGGGTGCGCCGAAATGGGGGCGAAACCGCATGCGAAACCTGCCACTGAGGCCTTCGATGGAGCTCCTGATGAGGCCACGAAACGTGTAAGGGGTGTGCCGAAATTGAAGCGGAACCGCATGCGAAACCTGCAAATAGAGAATTAGGTAGAGTCCCCTGCATGCCCACGAAACGTGTCAGGGGTGTGCCGAAATGAAGGGTGGAATCGTATGCGAACCCTGCCACTGGGACCTTCGGTGGAGCTCCCTATGGGGCAACGAAACGTGTGAGGGGCGTGCCGAAGTGGAAGTGGAACCGCATGCGAACCCTGCCACTGGGGCCTTCGGCGAACCTCTCTGTGGAGCCACGAAACGTGTAAGTGGTGTGCCGAAATCGAAGGCGGAACTGTATGCGAACCCTGCCACTGAGGCCTTCGGTGGAACTCCCTACGGGGCCACGAAACGTGCCCGGGTGTGCCGAAATGGGGGTGGAACCGCAGGAACCTTGCCACTGGGGCCTTCGGTGGAGCTCCTTGTAAGGCCACGAAACGGGTAAGGGTTGTGGCGAAACGGGACTGGAACCGCATACGAACCCTGCCACTGGGGCCTTCGGTGGAGCTCCCTATGGGGCCACGAAAAGCGTGAGGGTGCGCCGATATGGGTGGCGATGATGGTGATGGTGACAGCGATGATGATGGATGATGATGATGATGATGATGATGATGATGATGATGATGATGATGATGATGATGATGATGATGATCATGATGATGATGATGATGATGATGATGATGATGATGATGATGATGATGATGATGATGGTGATGATGATGATGATGATAATGATAATGATGATGATGATGATGATGATGATGGTGATGATGATGATGATGATGATCACGATGAGGAGGATGACGATGATGGTGATGATGGTGATGATGGTGACGATACTGATGATGGTGATGATGACTATGATGATAACGCTGATGATGATGATGATGATGATGATGATGATGATGATGATGATGATGGTGGTGGTGGTGGTGGTGATGGTGATGATGCTGATGTGATGATGCTGGTCATTATTCAGATGAAGATGGCGATCAGGACATGCGGGGGGCAGGGTCAGGGGATGGGAGGAGGAGGAATGAGTTGGTGACGCGGGGCGCTGCCTTTTTAAAACGAGGACCCAACAACAGGTTGGTTGGGAAAAAAACACATCAACACCAAAAACAAGAGAGCGAGGGACAGAGAGAGAGAGCGCGCAATGGAGAGCAACAGGGCGATACAGCTGTGCATCTATATGTGGATATGTATATAGAGACATACGTGTAGATATAGATGTGTGTACATGTACAATGAGAGAGAGCACGAACGAGAGAGAGAGAGAGATGCAAAGAAAGAGAGACCAAAAGGGAGAGAGAGAGAGAGAGAAAAAAAAAAAAAAAAAAAAAAAAAAAAAAAAAAAAAAAACGAGAGACAGATAATTACATAAGTGAATATGTACACAGCGAGAGAAAAGGGAAAAGAGCGCAATTGAGAGCAAAGGAGTGAGAGAAGCGAAGCGAAGCGAAGCGAAGCGAAGCGAAGCGCGCAGATCAGCCGGAGCGGGACCCTTGAGGGTCGGCGCAGGGGGAGCCAGGGCCCTAGAAGCAGGTGAACCACTGCACACGTCTAAACACCCAAAATGCTATATTCTGGAGGCTGGCCTGCCGAGGGAGAGCGAGGAAGAGAGAACGAGAGAGAGATAGAGAGATCGAGAAGAAAACACAAAAGGCGAAAGAACGAGAGAGAGAGAGAGAACGAAAATAGACGAGGACAGTGACAGCATATGTTGGGAGAGCAGAATGCGCGGCAGGCGGCGCGAGGGAGCAATGGGTACAGAGCGGGGTGGCGCCTTCTCCCCTGCTCGCCGGATAACGTCGAGCTGCTTCACGAGCGCCGAGATCTTCGATCCTCAGATGGAAAAGCAGCATCACCATCAAGTCATCATCATCATCATCATCATCATCAGCATCATCATCATCATCATCATCATCATCATCATCATCATCATCATCATCATCATCATCATGATCATGATGATCATCATCATCATCATCATCATCATCATCATCATCATCATCATCATCATCATCATCATCATAATCGTCATCATCATCATCAACGTCATCATTATTCATCCTCAGCATCACCATTGCCACCATCATCATCATGATCATCATCATCATCATCATCATCATCATTATCATCATCATCATCATCATCATCATCAGCATCATCATCATCTCATAATCGTCATCATCATCATCATCATCAGCGTCATCATTATTCATCCTCAGCATCACCATTGCCACCATCATCATCATCATCATCATCATCATCATCATCATCATCGTCGTCGTCGTCGTCATCATCATTATCACCACCATCCTCATCCTCGTCCTCATCATCACCATCCGCATCGTCATCGTGATCGTCATCCTCGCCGTCGTCACCATCATCGCAACCATCATCATCATTACCATCATCATCAGCAACATCATCATCATGATCGGGAACATCATGACTACCATCACCATCACAACCATCATCATCCTCATCATCCTCAACATCATCATCATCAGCATCATCATCGTCGTCGTCATCGTCGTCACCATCGTCAACGTCAACATGGTCATCGCATGCGACCATTTGGTCGTCTGGGACGCCTCCCACCTCCCAGCTTTCCCTGGCATGGCGTGCCTAGGATATTGCCACTAAGTGGCAGCACCCAGCCCCCTTGCTGGGTTAGCGATCTGATAATGTGTTGGACGGCTGGGATGGGGTGGAGATCCATTAAGAGGGCTGACACGTTGCCGAAGCTCGGGGTCGGGCGAGCTCTGGCGTCCAAAATCCAGGCCGATTTGGGTGGAAGATGTGTTAACTACGACGCAGGCCCTCGATATGACCTCGCAGGAATGATGCTCTTTAAAGCCCGTTAAAGCGAAACGCGGCCCGAAGAGAACGTTTCCGTGCGCGGCCTCCCGAATGATGGAAGGGGCCGGCTCCAAAAAAAATCGCTTGGCGAAGGACCTAACAATATGCAGCTGCGAGTATCGCAAGATACGCCCCTCTCATCAGAAGTAGCGCGCCGCCAGAGGGATGGACCACGGGGGAACGCGGATGGGAGCCCCGAAACGTGCGCGGGGTGTGCCGAAAAGAGCGGGGGACGCATGCGGGCGCTGCCACTGGGGTTTTCGTTCAAAGCTCCCTCTGGGGCCACGAAGCGTGTGAGGGGTGTGCCGAAATCGCCCGAGGCCGCCATGCGAACCCTGCCACCGGGGCCTTCGGTGAAGCTCCCCATGGGGCCACGATCCTCGTGAGGGGTGTGCCGAGATGGCCCGAGGCCGCCGCCATCCGAACACTGCCACTGGGGTCTTTGGTGATCCTCGTGAGGGGTGTGCCAGAATCGCCCGAGGCAACCATGCGAAACCTGGGTCACTGGGGCCTTCGGTGGAGCTCCATATGGGATCCTCGCGATGGTTGTGCCGAGATGGCCCGAGGCCGCCATGCGAACCCTGCCACTGGGGCCTTCGGTGGAGCTCCCCATGGGGCCACGATCCTCGCGAGTGGTGTGCCGAGATGGCCCGAGGCCGCCATGCGAACCCTGCCACTGAGGCTTTCGGTGGAGCTCCCTATGGGGCCACGAACCATGTGAGGGATGTGCCGAAATGGTTGGTATGCGGAGGGCAGAGGCAGGGATGGGCACAGGCAGGGATGGGAGAAGGGAGGACGGGGAGGAGGAAGGAGTGAGTGAGACGCGGGGCGCCGTCTCTTCAAAACAAGAACCCAACAGCACAGGAGGGTTGGGATATACATGTATATATACATTTATACACGATAGCAAACACAGATTCCATGCACTAAGCCTTTAACCTCAAGTGTCCATGGCGGCACGGCCCTAGGGGATACCTCCAGAGGCCTCGTCAAGATCTCCAGGTTAAGCCTGCTTGTACGCGGCAAGATGCTTGCCCTCCAGCGTGCGGGTCCCCACCTGATGCTCCTACACGCTGGCTCTGTCATTCCACATCAGGGATCATCCATGTCGACACGGTTGGGCACCGCTGCCAGGCATTACGCCGCCCCGCCTTGGAATCCTCGTGCTGGACGGGATCGCTGAAGAGTCTAGAGTCTTACTCCAGAGCGAGCCGTTTCAGCGCCCCCCATCTCTCATCCATCTTCCCCCCCTTCTCCATCCCCCGCTTCTCCTCACAGTGACGACAGCACCTACGTGCCTTCCTAGTCGCTGTCAGTTGTAAAACGTATTCATACAACGGCCCTGCCCCATTCCCGCATCGCCTTGGAACCCCATGCCAGATGTCCCAGGCGGCTCCAGGGAGGGGGCGCGCTCCGAAGAGCCCAGAACAGCGCCGTCCACCCATACGTGGAAACGTGGCCAGAGAAGGCACGGCATGTTCGTGTCGTGACAACTGCTTGGATCGTGCAACCTTGCAGTAGAGGCAGCTTTCCGATCGCCAGATCGTTCCATACTGGCTGATTCGAGGCCACTGGCAGCGTTCAACCTCGGACGCCTGCGGCGGGGTCGCTGCGCGTCGACACGACACGAACGTAGCATATCGATCTGGCGGGCGAAGGGTAAGGGCAGATGCCTCTAGTCCACCTCTCGCCCTCGGCAAACGTCGGCTTGACGCCATCTTGCGCTGCTGTAACCTCAGTAGGAGGCGAGCCGAGTTTGGAGGCACGTGACTGCCTTGGGCCTCAGGCAGGTTGAGACAGCAAGCGGGGCCATGTCGGGCGCCTGCACCAGCTCGCAGGAAGCATCAAGCAAGGGCTGGCTGACATTCGTGCTTTTGGAGCGGGGTCGAACCAAGACCCTGGCTCTGAGATGAACCTAACTGAGACCTGGACTATCTCAGGCCTCAAGTTTCGAGTAGTACCCTAAGCATGTGGTCTCATCGAATCTATGAAATTCCCCAATCAGTGCTTGCACTGAGGGGGTCCCAGCGGATGTTGAAAGATTAAGTTAAAAAAAATCCAGCCCGATTTCGGTGGCCGTCTGGGCCCATGGATTCCCAGTTCCGGGCTCCCTGGTTCCCAATTACTGGTTCTGGGTCGGTTTCGGTGGGCGGCCGGGTTCCCGGGTTCCCGGGTTCCCGGTCGATCTCCCTGTCGATCTCTTTACCGATGCCACGATCGAAATCACGATCGATCTCATGATCGATATCACTAGCCATCGCATTCAATCGATCTCAATTTCAATTCCATCATCGATCTTCCAATCGATATCACTATCGGCACTATCGATACCACTATGCATACACATGTATATTTACCACGATGGATCTAACTCAGTCGACCTCACTATCAGTCTCACGATCTATCTCACTATCGACCTTTCTGTCGATCTCACTACTATCGATCTCACGATCGATCGCACTATCGACCTGACTATAGATCTCACAAGCTATCTCCGTATAGACGATCTATATCACGATCGATCTCACTATCGATTTCACTCAATCGACTTCACTATTGGTCCCACGATCGACCTCACTATCGTCCTCACGCTCGAGCTCACAACCAATCTCATTATCTCACGATCGAACTCACTAACGATCACACTATCGTTCTCCGATCGATATCACTATTGCTCCCTCTGTCGATCTCAACCGCGAGACCCAACGGGCCCATTTCAGAATGCAAAACTACATTCGTAGATGCGCACGTAGAGAATTCATAGACACATGTTTGTACGCATAATTACTTTCCGAATTGCGATAACATGCGACCAGGGAGCCCACAGTCAAGCTCACAAGCATTTTCCCAATCAGTGCTTGCACTGGAGGGGTCCTAGCGGATGTTGAAAGATTTGGCGAAAGGTCCGGGCCGATTTCGGTAGGCGGCCAGGTTCCTGGCTGCCGGCTCCCAGCTGCTGGTTCTGGGCCGATTTCGGTGAGCGGCGGGGTTCCCGGGTTTCCGCGTTTCCTGGCGATCTCCTCATCGATGTTTTTATCTACCTCACGGTCGAAGTCACGATATATCTCATGATCGATCTCACTATCCATCTCACTCAATCGACTTCACTATCGATCTTATGATCGAGAATGAAGAAGTAGACGAACGCCCACCCAAACCCAGCACGGCGACTTAACGAAATGGGGTCCCACTCCAGCCCAGCACGGCAACTAACAAAATGGGATCCCCTGGCGTTAGCCGACCAACCCAGCACACCCCAGCCCACCACGCCGACTTAACAAAGTGGGGTACCCCTGGCTTTGAAAGGGCAAGCCCCACGTTTTAACACAATGGAGGAGGAGGAGAAAGATAATCAGCATGGGGAGGAGGAAAGAAGCAGAAGGAGGAGGAGGAGGGAGAAGGAAGAAAAATAAGGAAGCTGCGGGACGAGGAGGAGGAGGCGCAGAGCACGCTCAGCGGAGAGGCTGGCCAAACGCCAAACGCCGCCCACCCCAGCCCAAGCCGGCGAACTACCAAACTGGGGTCCCCCAGGATTTAGCTGGCCAGCCCGGCCCACCCCAGCCCAGCACGGTGACTTAACAAAATGAGTCCCCCTGGCGTTAGCAGACCAAACCGGCCCACCCCAGCCCAGCACGGCGATTTAACAAAATGAAGCCCCATGGCTTTAATCGACCAGCCCGGCTCCAGCACAGCGTTTTAACTCAATGGAGGAAGATAAGGAGGAGAAGCAGGGCCGCATTGGGCCATCAACGGGTCCTCTGAAGTCGTCAATCTGGGAGGTCTCTGCGGCCGCTTCGAACCGACGCATGCCCGATAAGGCGAAAATGCCACAATCCTTATAAAACGTTTGAATAATTTGTATTCAGGGCCTCTTTGGGCCCTTCGACGAAACAGCGGCCAGGCACGGAGCCTGCCAAATGTTCAAACCATGATTGGGACTTCTCGGGTGGAGTATACGTAGACTGTTCGTAGAACTACGCACGTCTTACGAATCGTTCGTACATGCGACGAAAAAAACAGATCTGGGGTAGATCAATGATGTAGTCGATCCCCCACTCCAAAGTTGCAGGAAAACGCAGGTGACGACAGCGCGTCCCCGCGGCCTCAGAGAAACCTGCTCATGGGGACGCAACTGGCGATTTTAGCTCTGGGAGGAGGATCTGCTTCATGCTCCTCCTGAATGCACCCCTGCTAAGACAGAATATGTTACGCTAAGAAAGTGGGCTTCACTCCGAGCGTTCTCTAAAACAGTAGTCACGGTCCAGATCTACGAAATGTCTACGAACACTCAAAACAAGATCCCAGAAAACGCTACTAAAGGTCCAGTCCATACTCTTGATTCTCTCGAAAATATATGGCGCCCATGGAACTTGGCATTCAAACTTCTGACGGGTGTATCTCAATTGCACCTCTGCAGCGAAGCCAGCTGATCCGCCCCACCAACGACATGAGATGCCCCAAGCTAAGCCCAGCGCCAAACTCGCCCTCGCGTGCCAGCAGTGGACCCGGCCAGGGCGCGGCAGCAGCGCAGCCGCCGCTGCCGCTGCCGCCGGCGCTGCCGCAGCCTCCACCGCAGGCCTGGCGGACGAGACTTCAGAACGCACCCTGGAGCCCGACGTGGAGCCGACGGCGCGCTTACAGGGCGGCGCTCCACTGCATGCTCCTGCACCTCCCTGGCTCGGGCAGCTCGCCTGGCGATCGCTTCTGGATGGGCCGATGGGGATGCGCGAGGCGCCAAGAACTCCGAAAGCACCCTCGCGTTATGTTGCTCCCATCCTACTTAAGGACCACATCCCAGAAATAAATTCGAGCACCCGGAAGAGTGTCGAAAGAGTGTCGAAAGAGTGTCGAACCAGAGTCGGACGAGTGCCTCCCAGGGTCCGACAGGTGAGAACCCTTGAGTTTTTGGGTACTTCTCTGGTGCTCGAAATTCTTTCTGGTAATCAAGGCTAAAGTAGGTTGGAAATAACCCTCGGGCCCGACGCGGGGCCGACTCGGGGGGGAGTGGGGGGGGGGGGGGGCGGAGGCGGTGTCTCTGCGGGCGCCCCCCTCCCTGCGCGCGGCTCCTCCCGCTGCTGCCGCCGAAGACGACGCGCGGCCACGAGAACGCGGGCCAAGAACACCGCCGCGCCGGCCACGTCGTCGTCGTCACCGTCATCGTCGACGTCGTCGTCGTCGTCGCCCCTTCGCCGAAGGCCCAAGCAACCCCAGGGACATGCCCCACCCGACATGGGGCCGACACAGAAATCCGCAGAAGATAACGTCTCTCTTTAGCATGGGGGGAAGCGGCTCCTGAGGGAAATGTGTCCTGGACCCTAGGGCCTTCCCCCAGACCGCGATTTTCATCCCGAGTCGTTTTCGGACGGTGCCGGGGCCCGTGGAGGGCCCCGAGAGCCCGAAAAGGGCGAGAAACCTCAGGATCCGTTTCCCTGAAGACCCGTTTCCCCCATCGCGAACATTGACGTCTCTCTGCGGCTCCCGCCGCCTTCTGCAGACCTGTGGGGTCGCACTGACCCGGGTCAACCCAAACCCGGGCCTGTCGGGCCTTGTAGGCTCCTGCAAAATCCTGCAGGATCCCCCGCAGGATCCTGCACACAAGCCCTGGTCAATGCACCCCTGGCTCTGCGGGATCCTGCAAAACCTGGCGCTCAGGCTGACCCCCGTTTGCATTGACCCCCCTCTGTCGAGTAAGGGATCAACTACAGAATTGATGCACCCCAGAATTTATTTTTCTCGTCGAATCCATGAGAAAATGCGTAAGCAACTTTGGGAGATCTGCGAAACTTCGACCTTTTCGTGTGAAAATTCGGCGTGGAAACTAAGTTTGGGGTCAGTCAGCTCTGCAGGCGATCTCCTACTCGAGTCTCTTGAGCCCCGAGACCTTCCGCTCGCCTCCCCCTCCTTACTAACGGGCCGCCGAGTTTTCTACCTCCGCTGGCCTCCGCCAATAGGAGGCAAGGTGCGCCGAGGAGGCGAGGTGAGGGTCTCCCTGCCTGGAGCGCCTCGCGTGCTTTCGATGGCGGGGGTTCCCCCGAAGCTGTCTGGGCGGTTTCGGAAACCCTGCACCCAGAAAGCGTCTCCAACTCTTGGGGGCGCATCTTTTACGTTCGGCGACCTTCCGCCGCCCTTATGCCGCCTTCCGCCAAGGAAGAGATGTTAACTCCTTCGATCCTCGAAGGCAAGGCCCTTTCCGGAACGCCCCATCTGAGCGCAGCGCTGGTGCCTTCTCGGGGCCTGCCCCGGAGCCACCCATCTTGCCATCGCTCGAACGTCCACTCCAAGTGCATCCTACGATGTCGCGCGTGGCTTTTCTTGTTCGCCTGATGGTCCAAGATCCTCCTCGATGGTCTTGGCCAGGGCTGCACCTAAACGGTGTTGTTCGTTTTCGTGTTGTTTTCGTTTACCCTAGCTTTTGTCTCGAATCCGCCTTTACCGCAAAACGAAGTCGAAACGAAAACGGCCCACGAAATCACTAAAAAAACCGTTTAGGTCCAGCCCTGATGCATCTTACGATGTCGCGCGTGGTTTTTCCCATTCGCCAGATGATCCAATATCCTCCTCGATGGTCTTGGCCGAGACAGAAGGCGCACGTCCGAGCGATGCCAAGCCGTAGAGCCTCTCGGATGTTAGGAGGCAACAACTGGGAGGTCTTCGTCGGAAGGGCTAAGGAGGATTAAGCCCCAATGGGGCGCTGTTCCGCCAGATTGGGCCTCGCATTAAGCGGCATTAGGCCGGATTTGGCGGGATTAAGCCGGATTAAGCGGGATTAAGCCAGACTAAGCCGGATTTCGGACCAGGGCGAAATCAGAATTTGACCTCCCAGGAGTTGCATCCGAGCGGATGTGTCTGGAGACCCCTGGGAGGCCCCGGTGGGACTGAGAGGTCCGAGGGGGACTCGGAGAGGTCCTGGCAGGGTCTGCGGGCAGCTACGGAGCTCGGCCATGCAGAGGCAAGGTGCGGACGACGCTGCAGAGCCCTGGGAGAGCAGAGCGCTGACAGCGCGAGCGCCAGATCTGCAAGTGGCCGCGAAGCCCCCGCGCCATATGCCCGCGAGGCCCGGAGGCTCCTGCAGGCCTCGGGAGGCCCTCGGCTGCCCCAGGAGGCGCCCGGGGGGGTCCTGTGATGGGCCTGGTTTCCACCACCACCACCACCATAAGTTGGAGGAGGAGGAGGAGGAGGAGGAGGAGGAGGACACCCTCCCCCTCCAACTTATGGTGGTGGTGGTGGAAAACAAGCCCATCATCCTGGGGAGTCCTCTGGGCGGGCTCTTGGACGGCCTGCCAGCGGCGGTGCTGGGAGCCCGGTGGCACTGGGACGCCGGCCTCGCCGCCGAGCGGGGTGCAGGAAAGCGCCAAACAGGCGCCACGAACCACCCCCACCTGCAATGGGACGCACAAGGACATACGAGTACTATACGTTCGCCTTGGAGGCGCGCGTCCCACCCAAACATATAGTATACCCATCTTGTAGTATATCGTTTCCCGAGCGGTGTGGCCAGAAAGCGCCCGCCACGACGCATATACTATAAGATTTCTTGGTGCGCGCGTCGCCCCTGAGGGGGCGACGCACATATAGTATAAGTATGTTGGGGTGACGCCGATGCAAAGCCGAAACCCACCTCGCAGTGACCTACTTGCATCGCCCTTTCGCGCGTCTGCGGTGCATATGTCTCCCTGCAGCACGCTCTCTTCACGGAAGTCCGCCGCCCTTCCTGCCTGCGGAGGCCAGGGGGTGCCTCCAATCACCCAGCAGAGAAAGCTGACCTCGGGAGGGGTCGAGCCTGCTGGCGGGCAGCAGCGGTCCTTCACGCGCGGCCTGATCTACACAACGGCACAGCTCGCACAACATAGCTTGCACCACGTAGGTTACATCACACAGCGTGTCACCTCATAGCTTGCACCGCTCAGTTCTCACGGCACAACGTGCGCCAAGCAGATTGCACCATACACGTAATGCAGCACAAAGAGTTCACCACGTCGCTTGCACCACATAGATGTCCTCGCCTAGCTTGCATCACACAGGCTTCATCACACAGATTGCACCGCATAGCTCGCACCACAGAGTTTGCACCACATCGACGGCACCACATATATTGTACCACATAGCTTGCCCCGTAGACCCTTCAATTCATAGCTTGCAGCACATCGCTTCCGCCGCACAGCTTGTACAACAGCACATGCACCACATCGCCATCATCATACAGCTTGAAACACATAGGTTGTACAGCTTGCAGAAGACTTACATAGCTTACATCACATACCTTGCACACTGGCTAGGATATGCGCGTGGCCAAAGCATGTGTGTATACACGCATGACATGTATTCACGCGTGCTACCATGAAGAGTCCAGCCACGGGCCAGAAAATCCAAACCAAATCCATCGGTAGATTGTCATAGCGGCACGGGCATCGCACCAAACCGTGTAGATCTGAAGCCTTGCTGAAGACGCGACACCTGGTGCTACGTAGTTGGATGTTGTGTGTGGGGCCACGGATTGAACAGCTCGGAATCACTGAGCGCCGCCAAAGACCTATCAAAAATGCGAACGATCAAACTCCCAAAAGATGAAACAGGGCAAGCCAATGCGACTCTCAAAACAATTACGAACCTAGGACGCGGAAAATTCTAGAAGACGCATAGTGAATGGCGCAACTGGCGAAAAACTTGCAAAGACAAAAGCGCCCAGCGCAACCAATGTGTTCAGGGACAGCGGAGCCCCGAGCAAGAATTTGCAGACTAACCATGTGCACTCCAAGATCTACTATGTATGTTGAGCTGCGTGTAGCACCTGGACTGGTAAGACTGAGCATGCTGACGTCCATGGTACCAACACGAAGATATCTTCATAATAAAGGAAGCACAGGAAGCACTGAAGAACGGAATGGGAGACTTAACCGTACTTGACCGAATGTGGTCCCGGCTGACGAAGACACGGGAAGCTTTCGATGCACTTGCGTATGCGGGCGCGCAGAAAGTATCCCCTCACCCCACCAGCCCACACACCTAGAAGACGCGCACCCCGCTCTCAGCCCTTCAAGCATCAACCGCCCGATTGCGAACACCACGCGACCACGGCCTCCGCTGCGCTGCCCCGAGCGGGTGCGTCAAACGGCACGATGTCGTCAAACCTTTGCGCAGACGACGCGACCAGGAAAGAGAGAAACAAGGGGGCCGGAAAGCATGCGGAGCGACTCGACCATGCACGGTTGGCTGACTTCGAGCATCGGGCCGCACAGGATGAGGTCAAGAGGCCGGGAAATGAGCAAGACGGGCGGGCCCCCGTGCTGGCCCCCGCGGTCGACCCCGACGGCCGAACGGCCCAAGCGCCGGGGCCCTGCTCTGCGCCTCGATGAGGAAGCAGGGAAATCTGCAACAGCATCAAGAGAAGCAAGAGAAGCAAGGGCGACGAGATCCTCGGAGGCGACGGTGCCACCAACAGGCGCCAACGGCGAAGAAGAGGAGAAAGGAGGACGCGGGGGAGGAAGAGGTGGATGAGGATTTTGGGAGAGGACGAGAAGGCCGAAAAGGACCGGCTAGAGGGAACGATGGAAGATGAGGAGGATACACGAAACGAAATTGCGGAAAAGGATGGCACGACGACGAGGACAAGGACGAGGGCGAAGAAAGTTGATTTCATCCCAAAGAAGCGATGCCCTGCATGCTGAACGCAGCTGCAGGAGACAGAACGAATCAAAGTGTTTCATGGCGAAGCCAGCTGAAATCCCATGCCCTCCGCGAACTGACCCACTGAACTTGAACTGCAGTGAACTGACAGAAATGGGTGTGCAATTTTTACAACACATTTTAAACCGCCCGGGCGCAACCGCAACCACAAACAGGCGACACATATCAAACCGCCCGCGGGCGCAACCGCAACCGCAACCAGGCGACACATTTCAACCCGCCCGCGAGGGCAGTCGCAACAGCAACCAGGCGACACGTTTCAACCCGCCCTCGGGCGCAACCGCAACCGCAACCGAGCAACAAATTTCAACCCGCCCACGAGCGCAACCGCAACCGCAACCAGTCGACACATTCAACCCGCCCGCGGGCGCAACCGCAACCGCAACCAGGCGACACATTTCAACCCGCCCACGGGCACTCGCAGCAGCAACCGCAGCCAGGCGACACCTTTCAACCCGCCCGCGGGCGCAACTGCAACCGCAACCTCTTTTACGTCGCAGCGCGGCAGAGTCAGTCCGCACGCACGCTCGGCAGGCCGTGTGACGGCAATACGAATTGTGAGGAGGAGAGGCGGCCGCGGGAGAGGGGAAAAGAGGGGGGGAAAGCGCGCTCACGCAGTGGGGACCGCAGCGGGGCGCCGGGGGCGGCCGAGCTGGTACAGCATCCCTGGCAGCGGGCGCGGGGCGGCTTCGCATTCGCATCCAGGGGCGGGGGCAGCGGCTGCAGCGCAGGGCCGAAGACCGCCAAGTGAGAAAAGAAGATGCCAGGACAACAGAGCCGGCGGCGGACCCCAACGAAACGCGGGGAGACCAGGTGGAACGACTGCTGGGCGGGCTGCGCAAGCAGGCTGCCGTGGCCGACCGGGGCACGGGATGGCCCGCGAGGGAGGGCGACACAGCGGGAGCGCGTCGGCAGCGCAAGCTGGGGCGGGGGACACCCGGGAGGGGCGAGCGCGGACCCGACGCGGCCAGGACGGCCGGTGTGGGTAGCCGCGGGATCTGGGCGGCCGCGAAAGGCAGCAGCGCAGGAGCCACGCAAGTAGCCGCGGGGGGGGCAGGGCGAAGGGGGAGGGAAGGGGTAGCAGGGCCAGGCCCAAGCCGGCGCACGCATCACAGCCGGGGGCAGGCGGCGCCCAGCCCAAGGGGAAGCTGGGCGTAGGCTCCCGGCGCCGAAGCAGCCGAGAGGGAAATAATGGAAGGACAGCGTCGTGGCGACGGCCCCCAAGTCAAAGCGGCACAGAGCGCCACCCAGCACGCCCCTCGGGCCCAACAGGCGCAGGGGCGTGGCTGACGGGCCACGCCAGCACGCGTGGTGGCGCATGCGCCAAGCGGAGCCTGGGGGAGCTGGCGCTCCAGCAGGTGAGGGGAAGCGCCGACCCCAAGCAGACTGCAAGGGAGGCGAGCGCGCCACCTGGGATCGGATGGGTGGTGCGCCCACGGCGAAGAGAGAAACGCACCTCCTGGGATGGATGGCGCGTCCAGACCAGGGAATGAGCAGGGGCACCTAACCCGTGCACGAGCAGGTTTGAACGAAAGGCCGGGGCAAGCGGCCCGCAGCGGGAGGGAGAAGCACCACCTGGGGTGAATGGCGCGCCTGCGGCGGAGAAGGGCGCGCCACCTGGGTTGAATGGCGCGCCCACCAGAAAGTACGTAACCGGTGCACAAGCCGGTGAATAATGTGCTGGGGAAGGCCCGCAGCGGAAGGGAGGCGCACCAACTGGGATGGATGGCGCGCCCGGAGAGGCAGGGACCGGCGCACCACCTGGGTTGGATGGCGCGCCCGTTGGGGAAGCCCCTCCCCGGTGCACAAGCAGGTGGATAACGGGCCGGGGCGGACGGCCCGCAGCGGAAGGGAGGCGCACCACCTGGGATGGATTGCGCGCCCGAGAGGCAGGGAGAGGCGCGCCACTTGGAATGGATGGTGCGCACGGCGGAAGGCGCCTAACCGGTGCAGAAGCAGGCGGAATGTTGCGGGACGCCTCCTGGGATGGAAGGCGCCGCGCTGTAGTCGCAGCGCTAGAAGGGCCCGTTGCCGTACCGTGCCGGGTCCAATGATTGCAAGTTCTCGCCCTTTGCAGGCAGGCCAGGCGCCCAGCTGGAGCCCTTGCATGCGGGACTGATCTCCGGCGGACCACGATGCCTCACTGGGCCACTTGCCTCCTTGGCCCTTCCCGCCAGCTGTCTGGGTCTGGCGGTCCTGCTGCTGCTGCTGCTGCTGCTGCTGCTGCTGCTGCTGCTGCCAGACGTCGTCCAGATCGGCATCCAAGTTGCGATAGCGGCAAAGGCGCTGATGTCATACTGGGCCTCGGCCAGTCACACAGGAAAGCGCGGAAGAAAACGTCGAAGCCTTGGGGGTTGTACAGTCCCTTGCCCCGGCCCTTTCCATCCCTCTGGTCACAGGCCCTGTTCCAGCCGTCCACAAAAAGGGCGTCCCAGGTGCCTTTGAGGCGGTTGATGGTTTTTGGCCAGGTATCGTCCCTGCTGTCTCTCGCCTTCCCCTGTGGCCTCCACTGGATGTCACGCCTGGGAATATTCTACAGGCGGTCGCACGGGTCATCCCACTCCCTCCACTGAAAAAGCGTTCCCCCGCGTGCTGCGAGTCTCCCAGTCGCGTCGGCTATGCCACTGGCCTTTCCTGTCCCAGGAGCCGCACTATGTGTGTTGCCTGCACCGCTGCTGGGCCATCTGCTGGGCCATTTCGGCTCTGCGTGGGTCTGGTACTGGGGCCTCCACTCCGGCTCCGAAACCGTAACCAGGCGACACACTTCAAACCGCCCGCGGGCGCAACCGCAACCGCAACCCGGAGACACGAGAGCGTTTCTTTATGTTCGGCCATGACGGGCGTCATGGGGGGGCGGGGGGCTGGGGGGGTATGACGTAACGCCCCCCCCCCCCCGCCGTGTGGCTCTGGCACCACAGCCGCGCCCGCGCGCACGACGCGACGAGCGACGACGACGACGACGACGACGACGACGACGACGAGGAGGACGCGAGCAACATGTAGGTGGCGATATGCCCCACTGCGCCTGTGTACACGTCGCTCCGCCAGCCCCGGAACGCGCGTCCAGCGGCGGGCCCCAGCAAGACAGCCGCCCCCGCGCGGAAGGACGCCACGACCACACCCCCGTCCAAGCAGACAGCCCAAGACCCACCAAGGAACGACGCCTGACGCCCCCCGACTCACTCTCGCCTACGCCGCGGGGCAGCGAGCCAACCTCCGCTCCTCCCGCCGCGCGGCCCACGGCGACCAAGTCCGCTGGGGCACCACCGGCCGCCAGCGCAACTCCTGATCCCCTCCCCGAGCACGAAGATCCCAACCGTCGCGAGCGACGGCAAGGGCGCGTCCCAGACGAACCCCTCCAGGGCCCCACCCGCCCAATCGCGACGGACCGCCCGAGCATCCAGGGCGGCGACTACGTGGTTATCAGGAGCGACACCCTCCCTCGTGCAAGGTGGTTCAGATCAGCGCAGAGCACCGAGCCCCTGTCCACGCAGCCCCTGGATGGAGCAATATTCGGACCCATCCTCGACGTTGAGTCCCGCGACCAGGACGGACGGACTCTCATCGTCCGGGTGGGAGACGAATGGCTTGAGGTCTGGGGCGCCGGGACCAGAACGCTACGCGTCGACGTCCTGCGCGGCACTGCGGCACGCCAAGCGGCCGCCTTCCTGGGCGGGGCCCCCAGCGAGGCGCACGCACCGCAGGAGGCAACGGCCCCCGCCAGCTCCTGGCTCGGTGTCGACCCCGGGATTGCCATAGCGGCGCCCGCGGAAGGGACACAACCCGAGCCCAGGCCCGAATCCTGCGCGCCACCTACGGTCGCCTACGAGCCGCTGCCGCTCCTGCCTACCAAGGAGGAGATCCCCGACTACACCAACGACGACCAGGAGGAGGAACAGAAGCAGAGGCTTGCAGAGGCCACAGGCATGGCCCACGTAGTCTCACCCTCCACAGACCCGGACACAAACGAGCAGGGCCAAACCGAGACGAGCCCGCGGGAGGCGCGACGCACCAGTCCCGAGCGCGACACAAGCAGCACACACCAAGACAGCCCAGCCAGCGCACCCACAGGACAGACCGTGCACGCGACGGCTGCCGCTGACGACCGCGCCCTGCACACGCGGTCCAGAACCGCGGCCTCAGGAGCCGAGCGCGCCGCACCCAGCCCCCGCCCCTCGGTCGAACACGGACGCGAGTGAGGCAGGCCGTGGGTCCTAACCCCGTGGGAATCGTACGACAGCGCTGTACGGCGCGAGTCCAAGAATCCAGCGATCGAGCCCGAGCCAACGAGAGCGACCGCGACCGGAACCGCGACAGGGACAGCGATCGGGACCGAGCCACAGAGCAACCGCGATCACGACCGCTATCGTGACAGGAACATACGATGGGCCCCTTGGCACCAGCAGAGCGATCGGCGCAACCCTCAGCACAGGGATGATCGCCG